TACTCATGTAGATGACTAAATAACGATTCGACTCTATTTATTGGTTTCAATGTCTTCACCGTATATTCCTTCGTTCGCTACCCGATTTCGTTTCACTGTCGAACAACAAAAAAAGGAAAAAAAAAAAAAAAAAAATACAAAACGAGATTCGGTTTCGTCGGCTTACCTCGCCCGGCCACGATATACACACGTTTTACAGAGATATTTTCAATAAACGAAAAAGCTTAACACTCACACGGTTGTTATCCTTCCCATCGCCCAAACCCTGCGTTCATTCGTGCGAGTCTCACGGTCACAGCGTGCGGATAATTTTTCCCTCGAGGCTCGCTTCCCCTGTTTTTCGCCCGTATTTCGATCCCCACTACTATTCCCCTCATGCGTGCTCATGCGCGTTCGCGAAGCTCTCCGCAGCGCTATGGTCCCCACCATGTTCGTGTCGTCCCCACTTTTCGGCCGAGGGAAAAATTATCCGCACGCTGCACGGTCAGTGACATTTCCAGTCTACAAGTTTAGTTTTAGCCAGCCTAGCATTCATAGCTACTCGCAATTTTCCTTCCAATAATTATTATTATCGCGATACTAATATTGATCTTAGTAAACCATTCATATCACGCCTTATCAATTGATATCTACGGATTTCCAGGACAGGCACTTGAGCTAGAGATCTCGAACGATATTAATTACGGTAAAATAAAATATGGGGTACTCCTCTTTTTTTATAATTACCCTGTTTCCAGGTAGGAATAGATAGACACCGGCTTCGTTCTATAAAAATTTTGTCGACTTTTCTTGCTTGTCAAACAATTCTTACGCGGGAAAAATTAAAGGTAACGCCTGTTTGTCCCAAATTAACGCTGAAAGCGGCTTTCTCTTTGCTGCACCGATGAAATACAAGCGTACATGCATCATGTCCCGTATCTTTAGCCATCCGTATATGGTCTCTCTGATCCGGAATGATGCAGCACGAATACCTAATTTCGAAAGAATAACACGGTCCCGGGTCGCGTCGCGACGCTGCACGCTGTGGTATTCGCCTCTCGTACGTAGTGCAAATTATCTCTCGAGTGTAATTATGTAATTGATTTATATTCTTTTTATTCTCTTCCTAATTTTCTAATACAGACACGTTCAGATTTGTAGTCTTGCTGGTAC